AACTCAATCCAGAAAGCCTTCTTGGGAGTACCATCCGGTCCGAACAAGTTCACCACATCGCAGTTCGAGGAGCGGCTGCTGAGGACCATTGCTTGTCTTCGTCTGCCCTTCCAGACCGTTGAAAACCCTGAATTTCAAGCACTCCTCAAGTTCATCCACCTCGGACCGGGAGAGCTAGAAATGCCTTCAGCAAAAACCTTGCGACGACGCCTGCGTGACGCTGTAAGAGGACAACAGGAATCACAGTTGCGAGATCTACCCGAAGACGCCAAAGTTTCACTTGCATTAGATTGTTGGACTAGTCCCTTCCAGCAAGCATTCATGGCAATTACAGTCTACTTCATCGATAGAGATTGGAACTACCGCGAGCTGCTTCTTGGGTTTGAGCCTTTGCATGGACCTCACACAGGAGTCAATTTGAGCGACGTGCTCCTCCAGCTGCTCAGAGAAAGACAGCTATTGGGTCGTATCTTCAGCGTTACCACGGATAATGCAACAAATAATGAAACCCTCATCCGAGCGCTGCAAGAATCACTCATTTCTAGTGGCGCCATCGGCTCGAGAGAATCCATTGTCCGTGTTCCATGCATGGCCCATGTGATTCAGCTTTGCCTCAAGCAGCTGTTGGGGCATATCAGAGCTGCTCCCAAGAATAAAGAAGTGAGAAGTTTTTGGTCCAATTCACAAGCTCTTTGTCTCAGGGACTCAGTGGACCATGGTGAGGTGGCGCATACTCTAGCAAAGGCGAGTCCGTTGATTTCGGACCCGTCATATTTGGACATTGCTGACGGTGCCTCTTCCACAGATTCGGTCCTTTGCAGTTTTTGTCAACGCCAGCCCCCAGCGGCGAGATGCATTCCTGTGCCTCCAATCTGGTGGAATGCGACTTTTCCCGTTGCATGATGTTCAGACCCGCTGGAATTCCACCTTCTTGATGCTTCGACGAGCGCGCCGACTAAGGAATACCATCGACAAATACTGCCGAGACCATGACTATTCACAATTTAAAATCACTGACATTGAATGGCGGCAAATTGACTATCTTGTTCACTTGACGAAGCCGTTCTTTCAGTTCACCATGGCCCTGATGAAGACAAAAGACGTGACAATTCACAGCGTCTTCCTCGTGTACAGGAAGCTACTGGAACACATTGAACGCTCAAATCGAAAATTGAGAAAAAAGACGACCCCCTGGAAGAAGGACATGTATGGAGCGCTGCTTGTCGCGAAGCAGAAGCTGAGAGAATACTACGAAAAGACGTATCGTGATCACGGCTTCCTCTATGGCACGGGGACCCTACTTGCTCCTCAATACAAGCTTTGCGCTTTTGACGACGCAGAGTACTCGCAGTGCCACAGTGAAACTTCCAAAAAATACTGTGAATACCTCAGGACATGTTTCTCGCAATATCAGCAACGGAATCCTGAGATGCTCTTCCGTACCGTGCATCGCCCTTCCTTGCAAGCCTCGGAGTTAGATCGGCTTCTTGGGCCGTCACAAGACGCACAAGTCAACGAAGGGTTCGAGCATGACGAGGTCGATCGATATCTTCGCGAGGGTAAGTATTATCGGGCCGCTGAAGCTTGATGACAGACTAATTCCTCATAGCAACTGTCTCAATTCCTCCCCGCGCATATTGGAAGGAGAACGAGCGTAAATTTCCAGTCCTGTCGCGACTGGCTCGCGATTTGCTCTCGGTCCCTGCTACGGGCGCAGGAGTTGAAAGGCTATTCAACAGCGCACGGGATATCTGCCATTACCGCCGCGGATCCCTCAACGAGACAACCATTCAAGACTTGATGATGTACATGTGCTCGGAAAGATTCACTTTGGAGAGCCGGCAATTGAGTCTTCTGGAAAGTCCAGCGGTTGAGAGGGAGGGCCAGGAAGCCCTCGAAGAAGATGAGGCGTTAAAGGAGACTGAAGACGATATTGCTCCTATCAGCGATGTCGAGGAGAACGATCCCATTGAGGATTCCGAAACAGGTCTCGCCGTCGAAGGGGTAAGTGGAGTAGAAAGCACAGCCTCAGAGGAACTTCCAGCCCATGATCAAGTGCAAGATGCGGCGATGGCTGAAGTGGCCGAAGATGAGGACGACGATGGAGATTTGCTCCCACCTCCGGTCACACGCCTCGGCGATAGGTCTCACAAGAGATCATCCGGTAGGGTAACAGTACCTTCAAGCCGGCTGCAGGGTTACGAGCTGTATTAGTCTATGAATTAAGCTTAATCTGTTTTATTCCTCAAATTTATGTACTCCAAAACTTTAGACCATACTTATACCAGAGCCATACCTTGATATAAATCAAAGATACGGCATTATTTTATGCTAGCTGACAAATCACTCTTTTTTGGCTATCGCGGGTTATATGGGTACCCATTTGGGTCGCGGGTCGGGTTCTCAAAATGAAGACCCGCCCACGGGTCTGCTGACTAAGACCCGACCCAACCCGTGGGGCGGGTTTTCGTGGGCGGGTTTGGGTTGTGGGCGGGTTTTGGCGAGGTCTAGTGAGATCCCTTCTGGACGAAGATTTTCGATGAGAAGACACGACGTACTATTTCTAAACCAATCTTGATAATGACGAAATGTCGGGTTTTATACAACTTTACCAAAGACCCTCAATTGCTTACCGATTAACAGTAGCGGAGAAGAGTCAGTGGGCTTCAATCTCCGCCGGATAATCAACTAGGTGCAGCATGACTGGTCCAAGCGGGGATTATCTAATCTAATAGCGAGCACAGCTATAATTACTGGGCTTTAAAGAAAGCCGGACACTAGTAGATTTGGCGATCTGAGCTAGCGGTTGGTATCTATCACTGAATCTCCCGAAACTCGGAGTGATGTATTTGTCAATTTTGAGTGAAAGTTGGGTGTACAGTCAAAATGATCCCCAACGTATTTACCTTCCGTAGGCACCATCGTAGTACAAAGTCCGAAAAAGAATAATTTTCTTTTTTTTCTTTCTGGTTGGGAAGCGATCGTGGAACGAACTTTGAAAGAGGGATTAAGCGGCCAAGTGACAGACTTGACACGAGCATGAGACCGACAGCAAAAACCCCGTTGTTTGTTTAAAGCTGCGAACGGTATCTGGGGGCTTGGCTTTCTCCCAGAATCTCTCTGGCAATACGATCAAGGGCTTCAACCACTTCCTCAATATCCTCCGTCGTTTTTGGATTGATCGTGCACATTCGCAAACAGACCTGATTTTGCAATCGCGTTGTGAAAATAACAGCCTTATTTTCGGAGGCTATCTTCTTCGAAATCAATGTGTTGTAATTGTTACACTGATTGTTGTCAGGTTGCATTGCCGTAGGAGCGTATCGGAAGGTCAATATAGCCAGAGAGCTCGGTGAAATAATCTCCCAGTCAGGCATTCGACGAAGTTTGGATTCCAAATGATGTGACAGATCAAAGCGCCAGCCGATCATTTGGTCAATATTCTCAAGTCCGAGAACTTGCAGAGTAAATCAGAGCCTCATATGCCGTGTCGGTCGAGTTAGTTCGATTCCATAGTTCCAAGGATCGGAAGGTTTCTGTGCACACTCAACATCCTGTACGTAACCACCAGAGCCAGAAAAGCTTTTAAGAGGATGAGCTTTTTCACTGATATTGAGTATGCCGCTAGCTCCTTTCAGGAGTAAGGATTAAGAGTTTTTGCTTCATTTGGACCGAGGCGCCTGCATAGCCATTACGATACTAGTTAGGATCCAACATGTTAATAGAACTTTGATTGATTGATTGAACTAGCTCATTTTGTCCCTTTCCATTTCCTCGTTTATTATTTCGACCTGTATTTAGGAACGCAGAAGGGGATGTTATAACTAGGGAAATGATCCACCGGGTGGTTTGAGACAAAAGCACGAGCTACAAGCGTCGTGTGTTACTGTCGTTGTAATAGTTTATTCAGGTAAACATGTATCTTTAGCGAGCGACCAACATGTTAGAATCTCAAATGCTTCCAATCCTTCTATCCAGGCCAACTAGTAACTTAACTCTTAATAACAACAAGAAGAAAAGAAATAATATGTCAATGTTATTGGCAGAGAAAAGGATGGAGAGAGAGAGAGAGAGAGAGAGAGAGACTCGGTAAGCGAGCTCTCTCGCTATCTAATGCTCAGTTCTGTAACAGAACTTCTGTTCTATCAAGGTCACGTGACCCAGGTCTCTCTTGGTGTCACGCGTTTCAGTATTTATATCGGTCCGCTTAATATATGCAACACTCTCCACACAGATCATTTTCTTAGCGATAACTAACTTAAGCCCTTTCACAAGCGTTGAGCTTTTATGTTTCTACCACATCCTCGCTACCGCTGTCACTGCCGCTCACTGTCCTCACGAAGCCCCGTGCCTTTTTCTTTATGCTTACCCAAATGCCTCTTCAACAGCAGGGGCGAGGTATTGATAGTCGTGTTCGGCAATATGGTTTTCGCAGGCGTCCTCTAAAACCGAAGTCTTGCGCTAACAGCTTAGCCACTCACAATCGCGTCGCGAACTACATTGAGGAGGCCGTTCTCCCTCGTCTCGCAAATCCACCCGTGCAGTGTACTTCCATAAATGTATATCCTGACTTCTCCGTGCTTAAGAAGGCTATTCCCGTCCCAGTAAGACATAGGCTGAAAGGGAGCCGTCCTTCCGCTCTTGCTATAGCACCAAATGGTCAATATCTTGCGTTTCACTACGATACCTTGGGTAGTAGTAACGAGGAACAATCAACAATGTCGGTTGCGAGGTGGCCAAGCGGACCAACCTTTCATCGTAAGCCACACCTTCTAAGACCTGTCCTCCTCAGCGAGGGAAAAGTTTGCTTCGGCTATGAGAGAAGCAAGAGACCGTTTAGCAATTATAGCGTTGTCGTGCGTCGAGTCTCGGACTGGTCACTGATGGGCCATCGTCCGTCCGGACTAACACGACCTTGCCTTACAGGGGACCCAAGGTATCCATTCCAGCCAGGGTGGCATATTTCAGGTGATCTGGTAATTCACTTATCTCGCCGAAAGATGGTCTTTGAGGTCTGGGATACTCTTCTTCGGGAGTCTCGCAATATGCCAGGCTGCATAAATGTTGGAATCATCAAAGAATTGTCCACATCACCAGCCGGAAATATAGTTGTCGCACTCTGCACCGATTTTAAAATCTATGTGTGGAGGAATCTGACGTGGAGGAATATCCAGGGATCTATCGCGCATGACCTGCGAATTTTCTCCGTCCAGGATGTGGCCCACTTAGGTCGGCTTACTCTCAATGGCATCCGCCTGATAACAATCGATAAGCGGAGCGAGTTTGTCCCATATACTAGAAGCGATTCACAACATCAAGAGCCTGATGCAGCACGGATCGGGCGGTTTTCAGATGGAACCTACGTTACTCGAACTCAAGCGCAGGTCCCAGGAGGGTTTGCTAGTAAATATACTATCATCGCAAACGGCGAGCAACGACATGAATTTTATCACTGCAACGGTGCCAATTGTATATGGCGCACAGATTCTGACGCAGCCATCGTCATGGACGACACCTATATTGTCACCGCAGGTCAAGGATTTGTCAATTTCTGGTCCAAAGCCGGCAAGTTGGTCAGTACTCACCGACTAGGAGCAAAATATAAGGAGTGGCGCGGCATTGCACTAGCAGGTAAACATACTGTGATCGCTTTTGATGACACATTGACAGAAGCCACTGTGTGGGACTTTCCTAGCTGAGGCCCTGATGACTGCCCGCAATTTTTGGCACCCGGAAAATCGCCACATCTTGATAAAACCTGTACATATTTTTGAGGAAGGATTGTCTTATGAATCTGATAACGCCTTGTATGACGGAAACTGTCTTGTTAGACTGTGTTAAGGCGAGTCATACAATCTTACGAGATAGATTGTCTAGTTGCCTTGATTTGCTTAAGTAAATGCACGCAAATGCTAAATCGTGATTAGTCGGTTCACAATAGAAGAGAATGAAGTTTCTGTTCTATAATTTATACATACTCCGGTCCACCCTAATCGGTAGCCAAAGAGCTTCGGAAGCGGCTTGGTGAGGATATAAACTATATTGCGAGTGCCTGAGACACAAGATAGCCTTACTATAAATGCCAAGGGTGCCGTCGGCCGTCCGCTTAAGCGTCGCTTCCTTAAGCGCATGGTCAAGCAAGCGTGGCTGCTCCCAGTCCTCCTTATTTCTTCTATTTTCCTAGGCAATGCTGGCACACCCATTACCACCGTATTATGACCCGCATGTCTAGAGGCCATGGTTATCTCGGTAGAAGTATCCGCAATGGAGTTGACTCCAATGTTCCAAGTACCTTTCAATCATTGGTGACCCATAGCATCGTTAACAGGAATAAAGAATGGACCCTATAGCTACTCGTTCTTGCGCGGCGCTGTTGCGTGTTACATATGGGTTAAATCAACCGTTACAAACATTTTGAGACACACTAGTGCACTGATCTTTGTACCCTGATTTATCTTTTTATCGCTCTTTTTCATTACACGCTGGCTGTATGTATGATACTAAAACCTCACATCTTATTTATCTACACTAACACAGCAAATGTTTTAACACCCTTGGACAGACCGCTGTGTAAACCGAAGAGTATTACTTTTAAACATTATTGCTTAAGTGAGTGCTTTTATGGTGACAATATTCAATTTAATCCACAACAGTTAAGTGTTTCATCCGTAATGTAGTCAAGAGCCGTTGAAAAATCGGATTTTTGACCGGCAGAATCTGAGCAATCAAAGGGGTGTCAATACTATTGCTGCGTCACTGTAAGAGCCAGTACTTTCTGGTTATATGCGAGGCAGTCGCGAAATACATCTGTAGGGTGGAAAAATTGCTCGTCCCATGGCTATCATCATTTACAATAAAATATTTCCATATTTCTATAGCCGTTGTGAAAGGAACCGCAACACAAGAATGACAATAAATCTACAGCTGGTCGATACAGTGAGAATGGAAAATCACGTTCCAGTGTGTTGGTTTAGTGTCGGTATAGACTAGTTTCACTCCCCGCTGATCCTGACAACAATGAAACCCACGTAGTGGGCAGCTCGCAAAGTAAAGGCAATATCTGCGTGAGCTGTCAGGTATGTAACCATATGTTCCCTATCCTCCCTATTATCTTTCTCAATCTCTTTGCTGTATCCACAATCTTTCGTGTGCAAAGTTGTGACAATACTAAGAGGGTTGTCGTACTTCCCGTGTATTATGTCCACACAAGCTCCGCTCTCACGGCGGCAAACAGAGGACCCCCTTGTTATCGTCTATCTTGGCGCCGCTTTCCAGCAAAAGTGCCACAATTTCGGTGTTTCCCCTTCAAGAGCAGCGCATCCTACCCTATCACTCCTTAGATCCACAATGGCTCCCGGCTCTTATAGAATGCTATGGGTCGCTAGACTACCGCCAGTGACGGCGGCAGGTACCAGGGCTGGACTGAAGCTATCAGCCCGAATATTGGAGTTAGCTCCGTTTGTTTGACTCGGGCTTTGTCACAATCCTCGGGACATCTGCTAAGCGCTTTATGAACCTCTGCTGTACGCTGGACTTACCCCGTGCACTCCCTAATGCGGCAGATTCGGGGGTGGATATGGTTGCGTATACCATTAGATCACGAAGGCGGAATGCCTCTGGTTTAGAGGTCATTTACATCTAGGTGTCAAGAGTGTGGGGCGTTCACCTATAGACAGTGAAATTCTAAACCTGAAGTCGACATGCGATGGACGGATATCAGGCTCGGGTGGTATTTCCTAGGTGGTGTCTCCAAGTGTCTTCCCGTATCAATAGTTAGACTCGTTGGTTCGGCTACCACATCAGGAAAAGAAATTAACTAAACGGAATACTTCTCGGAGCGGCTGACGAGTGTCACCACTATATTAGAGATTTCCCTTACACTGGCCAGGCTCTATTGTACTACACCATACGCGGGTACGGGGATATATATACGCTGACGCCGAATAAAGACCGACATATACCAAGGCAAACCGGCTTTTGGTAGTACGAACAAAGCTATAACCATAGACCATGCAAAGCGTAAGCTCCGACAGAGGCTGTCATTCTCCCCTACTGCGTTTGACATTGTATTCTCAGCCTGGACATGCGTCTTTGTGGTGAGTTGTACTGTGTTCGGTCGGCTTCCAACCGTCTTTCGCTATTCCTAATTGAGAGTGGCGCGTAATTGTGCTATACTATCTGTCACATTTCCCCAGTAGTAAGGACAGACGTCGAATTTTTTTTATTATTATTATTATTATTATTATTATAATTTTTTTTTGTTATTTACTATCGAAATGGGGATGGCTCGATGGCAGTCCGATATGGCAGACGGGTCGATATCAATGGAGAGAAGAGAAGACAACCAACCACTCCCATGCCCACCGTAGGCGTAAAGAGTAATCTCAGGAAGCGACTGAAGTACTGATCTTGAAGCTATATCATGAATGAAGAATCTGGTAGAAAAACTGTAGTCATATTGATGATGGTAGGATGCTGCCCTCGAAGGAGAAGATTGCATGCAAGCTTCCTGAGGCATTTGCGATACCTCAGGCCACTAATACGTGTCGCAATTACCTTACGAATACTGCATGAAACCGGTCGATAGATGATCCGTCGGCATAGCTTATGTAACTAGAATGGACCCATAAATAGTGAGAAATAGGGGTAATGGAAATACAGAGTCATTTACATCTCCAATTGGCCGGAATACAGGACAAATTGTGACAATACGCTACTGTGATGGGTTCCACCACTACAACTATTTATTACTTTTCTCCTTGTTACTTTGGGAGATTATCTTCGGCTTTTAAACTGTCTTCCCGCTATTCCTAATTGAGAGTCGGTATAATTATGTTAAATATCTATCACACGCTCCCAGCAATAACGACGGACGTCGATTTTTTATTTTTATTTTTATTAGTCATCTCCTTGTTCTTTTGTGAGATTATATTGGGCCTCCTCGACATCCTGGTAGCCCCGATTAGGGGTAGCGTTAAGCGTAACACCAATATCCCTACTCGCATCGTTATTATTCCAAAATTCCAGCGGTCTCCTGCCAGTGGAACCTCTCCCTTTTTCCTTCCTTTTCCTTTTTCATTGTACAGCTTTTTACGCCCTTATCTAACTTGAACAATATTGATTTAATTTTACTTAACTTTTTTTAGCTTCACTGGGTTAACTTAATTTTGTTGTTTCATTTAGCTATTTTTATTTCTAATTATTGCTACTTTTTATTTCTCACTTAACCTTGGTTTATATTTCCATTATTATTTCGATCGACGATTCTGGATTATTTCAATGATCTTTCCGTTATCGTCGTTGTCATCTCTTACTATTTTTGAGGGTGATATGCATCCCCCGGAGCCGGTTCCCGCCGTTACCATAAACTCATACTTAAGATACAGGAAGATACATAATAATAATGCCGAAGAAGCGGGATCAATATAATAGAATTTTAACAATACGTGGGACTCTAGTTTCACCACTCACAAGCAAAATTTAGGCAGCGACAGCTCTGAACCTAGTAGGCACATGACTAGTGGCTTTTAAACTGGTTTACCTTGGGCGGGGTGCGTTATTAACCGTTTACCCAGCGTCGCCTTCGATATCACGTCTTAATCTGTGCCTTGGATTGTAATGATCTAGGTCAAGGGTGTGAACTTCACCCAACCTAATTACATCAACCATATCTGACCAGTCACTAACAAAACCACGATTTTTTTTGGGCCAATATCCTGGACAGACTTGGCAACCGTGTGAGCTTTAGGCCTGTGGACCTCGTTTTGTTGAAGCATTCTGAAGCCTTCTGAGGCATCTGTATCGGTAGCTTCAATACGATCAGAGACTTTCCAATCTGCAATCTCAGGTGGATATATTCATATCCGGTGATACAGAGTGCGAATCGAGAATCTGTCTGAACAGTTGCTGGTATCACGTGATTTTGACAAAGCCACAAGAGATATAGAGTTTGAACCGCGATAGATAAACATGAGCAGCTCTATGACCAGAAATACCTCCGGCCGTCACGCATGCAAGTGGGTAATATCACTGTTAAATCACGACTCCTATTTTAGTAAAATTGGACTTCGCTATCCTCGCGAACTCAGTAGACCTTCTATTGACTTCTCGGTAATAGTGGCATTCTTGCTGTTATATCACGCGCCTAAAATGTCTCCTATGAAATGCTAAATTTGACAGGAGACCTGGCGTTGGCAGCATCTGTGGCCTCCACCGGCATTACCAAATTATCAGAGCTTTACTGTAAATTGGGGACCGATCATTCACCCGTGGGCCGATGAGAACTCCAGCTTGTAGTCGATCGCGAAACTCTCCCAAGGATGCACCGGAACATCCTGCTGGTACCGGATTACACTCTCTGATGTTGCCCAATCAGGATAAAGTGAGGTGCCTAACCCTTTTTCTTGTAACTCATACCCCCGCTCTTATAGTGCGGCCAATGCCTTCTACATCAAGATGGGAATGGGAGAAAGCTATACTGGCTTCCTAGCAACACCCACACTGCCTTGAGTGTTAACCATCTGATAAGACTACGAATAAAGAAGAGCGAAGCGGTTGACGCGGATATTTGTTATTAGTACTGCAAGTATACAACGTTGGAGGTTCCTAAAATGCCCACGACCGAGCCATATGTGGTTTATATAGCATCCCATGAGATATATAAGACCTTACCAATCTCCAAACGAGTAGGCCCCACGAGTGTCCGATTCTGATATGATCCCTGCATAGTATGATGTGCCGCGTTAACACTCTCTAAGCAGTGCTGAGCTGCGAAAGAATCATCATCACGAAGCGTCTTACCTGGTCCCCAGTTAAATCTCCGATCTCGGAAGGTTTCTCTTCTATTGAGCTGGCCTGTAGTCCGAAATGGTCTTGGACTTTTGTAGAGCGTATAAGCTCTCTGTTATCAGATCTGCTGTCTTATATTAGCAAAGGAATAAAACGGTGAGGGCGAGCGGCATACGCCTTCGAGCTCCACCGGCTTAGGACAGCTATCAGGCAAAATACTGCCAGGTACACGAACACCGCCCAAGGGCTGCTATGGTGACTGACAGAAATAAGCGCAGCGCCGAACACAGCTAGAGTGTCGGCCATGCGATCGTTGATGTTATTCTTCAGCAAATCAGATAATCCCGCTACGCCTAAGATAATAGGAAAGCTCGGGTATAACGAAACCGTGCAGAGGCATCATGGCATCATAGTAGTCCATTGGACCGTTTGTGGTATAGACATGTGCCATCGGTACTACCCGCGAGAACAAGCCAGCTTGATATGCGGGTCCTACCGCCTTGGGAGCAATGTCTTCATGAGCGAAATGTAGGGCTCTTCTCATTGATGGGTTGCATGCGTATATTGGGAGTGCCCATTAGGTAGCTTATTGACCAACTTTAAAGATGTGATATAAAGCACGCGACCACTGCCACTAAGGAGCGTTTCAAGTTACCATAGTACATAATGAGTTCAACGGTACCGGAAACTTTATGCGGTTCTAGAGCTGCGGTGCATTTAGCTCGAGTCATCCTGACATTACCTCTGATCATACCTTTGTGAGGCTGCCGACAAACTCTGCCTCTATTGAAACAGTGGTAGGCCGCACATAGAGCATATAGGGTGAGGGTAAGAACATACGACTCGTTTGTGTGCGCCCGTGTAGTGAATTTATGCCATCAGGACGTGTCAGGTGACGAGGATGGATTTATATCTCACAGTGAAGAGATCCCTTCACCGGACCAATCACGGCAAAGAGACACTGGCAATCTACGGCTGATAATATATCTGTTGGAAAAGTCATGTCTGTCTTCCTGCAGCCCAAGTGTTTATACTCAACAGGAGCTATGGAGTAGGCGTTTTATCTATAAAATGCACGTACCGTGGCGATGGGTAAAAAGTAATATATTATTTATTTATTTCCTTGTTTTTTAAAAAAGGAAACAGAAATGGAAAAAGAGAAGACAAAAAAATTTTTTTTTTAAAGATAGATAGTAAAAAAAAAGGTGGGGGAAGAGAAAGGAAAGCTTTGTCAATAGATCTGGTTTAAGTATATCCCGCGTCTTAGCCGGATTATAGCAGATTTAGAAATGAGATTCGCTTGAAACATTCCAGTTTTGTCTCCTAGCCCATGCTAGAACTTCGATAGCAATGCTAGTGTCGGGGCGCGAGGCGGTTAGTTTTGAACAGATTATTTTTGAATGGCCGATCTGGAATAGTTTATCATTCCAGTTGTCTATCACAGATGTCCAATCGATTGGGTACTGTTCAAAAAGACTACAAATTGTTTCCCAGATGGAACAAGACTATCGCTTACATGTCTTTCGGAAAGATATGAAGCAGTGGTTCGGTCAGGTCGACCTTTTGCACGATATTCTTCAGTCGAGCGGCGCGATTCTATCGGGATTCCCGGTTCATAAGTTTCTACTGCCGGATGTTGCAAAGGTAGTACAGGACGTTGAGATATGCATCAAGGACGTTGATGCGTATCGCCTTTTCGAATACCTTTCGAAACAAGAACGGTACAACACTGTTCTTGAACCACCCATGTGGGATTTTCACTGCTGCAAGGTACGTTGTGAGGTGTTTTGGAGCTCCTAGTAACACGATGCAGGTGTATCAGTTTAGCAAGTCGGCGGATTTAGCTAAATCACGTCTTGTGCAAGTTGTGGTGACGTACACAGGGAAAGTCGAGGAACTGTATGTCCAGTTTGTCGGGGTTTCAGCGCTTATGAATTTCTGGAGAAACGATTATGTTATTTGTTTATGTCCGGACGACCTGTTTGGGAGTGTAACGAAGTGCACATTTACGAACACGTCTCCAGGAGGGAGTTACATTGCGTTTAGCCACACTCGACGTAAGGCACTGGAAAGCAGCGGATATAAAATCCAGCGGTGGAGTGTGAATGACGCAAAAGTACGCAGAGTCGGTGGCTCTCCTTGTGTTGTTTACAGTGCGCAGCTCGGCTCAAGATACTGTTTGCGGAGCCAGGTATTCGACCCGTTAGATATTACCTTATTCTGAAGGGCAGAAAGCGAAAAGCCATATCAAGTGCCATACTTTTATATTTCCATACCAACCGCGATTATGATAAGCTTGACCTGGCGCCGGCTCAAGAGACCATTATTCTTTCGCCCGGGGGGAGAGGAGCTAGCAACACTTTCGCTAGTTTTCAGACAGTTCTTCGGCGAGGCAGAGCGATAATCCTTTAGCATCACCGTTTGTAGAAGTCTGCAAACACGCCTTTTTCTAACCGTTCACTGTTATATAATTTATCTGTCTTTCTAAGAAGTGATTAGTAGTGAAATTATATAATCCTAATGTTGCGTGGGTAAATCCTGTCTTTATAGTACCATACGTATCTCGAGTGTCAAAGCAGTTATAGTACAGATACTAGTCAAAAATATCTTCCCACTGCCCCGCTACAATTTGACCCGGCAACCAACCCACCATTTTATTTTTCTTCCTACACATGTCCGATTTCAATGGAAATAAGTTCAAAACGTCGTAAAACGGCTGAACTGCTGCTTGTTAGCCTGATAGTGTCTCCAGTCAGCAAAGGCCTTAATACATTTGCAGCTGATACAGCCTAAGACGGTAGAAGATATAGGGCTAGTCCAAACGAAAAATAGACGTCTAGTAGAAAACCATAGTATCAACACGCGTAAAGCGCTTCATTGTAATTGCGGCTATCTCGTTGCCAAGCGACTATGCTAAAATTAGCCATAAGAAAAATATATACACCGGAGATGAACACATAGGACTTACGTAGTATCGCTAACCTTGGAAGTAAATGTTCACGTAAAGCCACGTGCTTCCAGGATTTTTGCCTTAGATGTTATTCTCGCTCCCTTTCAGTTCTGCCCAGACAGCTGACAGATCGGGGTATAGATTGGAAGAGAAAACTGTAGTATCGATCTTATGATCAAGTATGCACATAAAATTGTTAATGGGTTTGGATTATTTTGTTCCTCTTTCGGCTTTAGACATGATAATATTGCCAGTTCTGCTCCTTTCGTACATAAATAGATCACTAGACGAGCCACCTAGCATACCTATTGGATATCGGTTCCCGGGCTAAGTGAATGGAGGTATAGCTGTTCTGAGGTGGTTTACAATAATCCTTTTCAGTAAATGTATTATCTGATATCAAAATCACGAAGAAAACGCGCGAACATTCTTCACTCCACCGTCCATATTTTGGTCTGAAATTGGCCAAAAGGAGAACTATGATCACGTTTCTTAAGATGCAAAAGATATGTTGGGAGGGATGGAAAAAGGCAAAAGATGGCTGGCGGGAGAGGGGCGATCTTGCTACTTCGCCAGATCTACAACCCGATTGTGGATCGTTATCCATGTATTTACGGTACTACAATGTTGTCTCATCAATAGCAATACAAAAATTACGATGACGGTTCTACTGGGTTTTTGATGCGGTGAGGAAATGAATTTAGCATCGTTGGCACTTATCCTCCGAGGATCAAGTAGTAAGAGTATCGAGATTTTATAATGATAATGTCCTAACTTACAGCAATCCTGACACCCACAAATTTCTATACCCCGTGGATGCACGCAGAAGGCAAAGCAAAACTATTCGTTCCTGCGATTTGCGATGATTGCGAGGTTGAAATAAAGAAAATGTCGTCTAGCCCTGGAAGCCCTTATTTTTATACTATAGCTCACCAGAGGATATATAATCTCCTATCTGGCATTCCACTGACTTTGGTGCAAGGCTATAGTCTGTAGATCTAAAGCCGTAGCATTCGGACCTAGAAGCTCGGCCACGTCAGGCAGTAGCATTTAGCTTGCAAGATGGGAGGAATGAATCAGGAAGGGACTCAATGATTGTCACGGAGCAATCCGGATGGCATTGCTGCGGTCCGTATATAGGAGTTGAGCCTCATAGGTGCTCTCTAAGAATCGATTGGGCCATGTCGCCGTGTCCACAGCGTTCTGTCTGCACGTAGCCGCCCTGGTTCCGTGAAGGTACTTCGAGAATCCGGTCATTCAGTGTAACACGCCAGCTCCCACTTGCTTCATCACTGAATTGTTTTTGAGCTTATACTCCACTCTGTTATGGTCACGAGCTCTGGAAACGGACCGAGTGCTTGGGTAGATGGTCCCGTCAGTTGCAGACACAACCAGATCCTGATCCAGCGATATAACGGAATTGCCAGTGTAGTGAACTTCGATAGACGGAAGTGGTAGGGGCGACGCTGGCTGGATTGACTGTGCAGTAGTGTCCCGCACTTTAACCCCTTCTTGTGCCTCGTACAGCTGCCTTGCGTACTTGGTACCCTCCCACCGGCATAGATCGTTGATCTCCGCTTCCGTCAACTTGAACTTATCAAACACTTGGAACAATTCAAAATGCCACCGAAATCGGCTCAGTCGCATACGATGTGGTGGGAAGGAATAGTCTAGCCCGGGGTATCGCGCTTCGATACGGTGTAGCGAACCGTAGAATTGTAATATTTCGCGTCGTACCTCGGGAACGAGGTATTCCGTAATCAGAGCATCGATGGACTTTATTTTGTGGGTGAGAGAGGGGGAAAACGTCTCATTAAACACAGCCTCGACCCAGTCGGACTTTCGCATACTTAGGGAGGAAGTTAGAGGGGGAGTGAGCGTCGGGACTGCATGTAAAGATGAGGTCTCCAAGGCTATTTATAATCTAGGACCATGTCCTTTGCTTGCCCGAGATGAGTCTCCCAGAATAGGTGAAAGTGGAAGGATTTCAGAGAGACTGATCGGGTGGCTTCTTGGCGATTTGTCTCTGAGGGTTGTGGATTAGGCAGTTGTGTAACGTTAGAGGTCACTGATCGTCAGACTTCAATAATCATCACGCAGATTAAGAGCTCTCTTAAATAAGATCAAGAGTAAGTGGTGGTTGATACCAAAGGCACATACTAGAATAGTATATTCTAGCCTCTATATCAAAACTAGAATAGGTCTATATTTAGACATATCAAATTTACAGACTGAAGCTGAAAATAGAAAAATAAAAAAACTGGCGTATATTACACCTGCAACAGATATTGCCTTTTCAGAGGGAGGTTAACATCTATTTCTAAGGTTTTGTGAGAAAATTCATGAGACAGTGAGGAGATTCGTAGATAGTTCATGTCTGGTAGACAAATACAAACCTCAGTCCGCATGCTCACTTGTCTCCCTTACTGAGCCTCAAATAGTGAACTTACAAGAGTTTCTCGAATCGGCTGAGAGCTCTTCCCCAATAATGCCTGGTGATATTACCGTGTATTTCTGTAGAGAAACTTCGGTGGTTTGGCGCCCGCATGCCAGAGTGCGTCGCAAATATCGACATCAAATTTACCGCTACATGAACCAACTGCAAAGGCGCGATGTTCAAGTTCATATCAACCCCCTTTTCTATCAAGTATTTCACAGGATTCCCCCTTTTGTTCTTGATAGCGATCATAGCCCGCTACCAAACTGGTCTGGCTTTGGGTCCGCTCCACTGGGGAGAAGGGTTATGGCAGATTAATGTTGGAGGGGAATTCATGGCAATTACGCGAGCCAGTGAAGGGGGAAAAATGCTGATAATAGACCGGAATAGGTACATGTCCATGGCTATACGTTACTCACAGACCGCCTATTTTAGTCTCAATGGGATCTGAACCTATGTGTAGCTATATTAGGCACGACGATTCAATCAGCTATTCTGTAAATAGATGTTTGTCAGTATTTTCGCGCTTCCTCCCGTGTCGTTTCTCAATCAACCCTCCGAAAATCAAAAGGATAGATGTAGAGTAGTAACTCTACAAGATAAGATCAAATAAAATTCAGGTGAATGAATCATCTAAGACTTACTGTCAACGACTAGCGTGTTTGATATCATGCTGTCAGAATTTTAGGATCTACACCACTCTTTAAAATATCTCACATAGACGCACTACCAGATTTGCAGACATGGAGCGTTATAAGTATTGCCATAGCAGGTACATAAAGCTGTACGTTGCTCTGATTTATAACACAACATGTATATAATCGTAGATATCCACGGTCTGTCCCAATGGTTTGGCATATCGGGGCCAATTAGTCAATATAAATAAGTCACAGTGGGAACTTGAAGTACGCAGATCGATCTTCTGGGTCGCTTTATGACCGCAGTTGGCTGAAAGAACTGAATCATCTAAAGCAAAATCCGTATGCACCCCCACTGGTCGGAGTCAGGTTAGCAATAAATCTACAATAATTCCACCTCAAGGCAGATATAGTGATGCTTTTCTCGTACTACGAGTGTCTATTCAACCGCAATAATTAGAGCATCGCAAAGCAAAGTAAAACGAGAAATTCTTTTTATTAAGGTAGTCATCGGAAACTCGAGACGCTAGATTGATTTTGAAAAGCAACTATACATTAGAGTCTTAACATATGAAGCCTCAGTTATCAAAAATAGATGTATATGGTAGAAATATCCGCACACCATATACGCCATCCTCGTGAGAGGCTATATTCGCAGTATTTGGAATGAGCACTACGAGGACGGCCAGCTGCGTAACTATTTGCCCTAGTCGACATTGGACGATCATTTCAACTCTAATTTATACACTAGCGAGGATAGTAAGTCTCGCTACGAGATTGATGGGGGACAATGGAAACTCGGAGCCCTACTTGCGATTTCTTTCACAGAACCAACTCAGTTGGAAACCTATTGCATATACTATTTCCCACTATAAATGAGATGCCGGAAAATAGCTTCGAGAACGGCACTCTTTCTGGAAGATTGGTCTCCGCAGACGACAATCCGTGGGAGATGGACAGAGTGGTTGATGCCTTGCAATTGGAGCGTGTCAGTGGAGTCCAAGAGGCCCAGCTGCTCTTGAGTGCATAAACCTATAAAGGCTTCTGTCTTGAATTTGGTCAAAGTCATGATGCAGTCGATATTGGAAAATGAGTATGGAGTGTGCGATATATTGAAATACTACTCGTTTCATCTTATATGAGGGCAGCGTATGAGACCATATTTATGTCTCAAGATTTTTAGTTCAAGGACCGCTAGTTTCTAACCGAGAACGTCTTGCCGCCTGGGTACCTAGTACTATGAATTGACTCGGTCTTGTACCGTACTAACGCGCCTATTTCCATGCCTTTACTGGATGTATCGATGTTCACTCACCAATCCACTTTCTTCGTCTCGTTTCCACCACGAAGCTTCGTTCTTTCGCGTACTTCGTTTTGAGTAATATGGTCTGTGCCATGGAGAGCCGGGATAGCCGTTCCGAACTGTCTCAGACGTGGGAGTGTAGTTTCCTTGCCGTAGATACTTGGAAGAGTGTTTGCGTAATGATATATTCGTAATGATATACTCAATGACACCTTAAAATACTGTACGTACAACCTTGATAAAGGCTAGCGCGAACCTGGCTGTGAAGCGCGTAAAAATAGTAGAATTAATCGCTCTCAACGTACGGCTCAATAATGAGAGAAGTCTGGATAAATGCCCGCTGGCGCAAATCTCCCCTTCTGAATGGTAACTCTAACTTCTTTGAACCCACATTGCCTCTGGCGGTTAAATAAACGTAATGCTGCCCTCTCAATTGACGACGCCGTCCGGCTGTGCCACCATGATTTTGTCTGATGTTCCTCTTTTCTCGGAAAAGGATTCCAATTCACAGCTTCCTGGAACATGGTGATTTTTTTCTGGAGAGTGGTTCTTGAGAATTAATACTAGACAGAGCTACCCAGAAAAGTAGTTAAGTTGGCTTCGAAGGTTATAGCCGACTCGTCGGTTGCTGACTTGCTTGGAAACTTTTTTTAGTGTGAGGTATCAAGCAAGCCATAGGGTCCTATTAGGCTTTTGGGCTTTGACACCCTTTTTGGAAAAAGAATATTCCAGGTATTCCATTTTCGATCTAATTGAGGGGGTTGGAAGTGGGGCCCGAGGTATTGGCCAAAATATATTTTAAACAAAATTCCAATTGCTGGCAGGAACTTACATGATCCACTGCACTAAACCACTTTAGATATTTCGTAAATTTCATGATAAATTAAAATAAAATAGCTAAAAATAAGCGGATCCCGCATTCGAACTTGTGTTCCTTTTGGCATTACTTTTCCTTTAAATGAAAAAAAGTAAACTACCAATACGATATCAAGTGATGAAAATATATTATATTTCCGCAATTCACAACGCACTCTACTAGAAACTCTCGCAAAATGACCCAGATGCTTGAAGTCTGGAAAATACTCGGAACAAAGCCAGAAGGCATAGGGTAAGAGGATCAAATACTCTTTTTAGTCGAAGAAGACACCCGCACCAATGCTGATCACTGCTTGAATGGGAAAGCATTACCCTAAGGTGTTGGTATTCATGGTGGATATATATTATATAATATTAGAAAACAAGATGGTGAGAAAAGCTGAACTCGCTACCATTGGCGCTTTCATAAGAACGAATCCATTTATCCCACAGGGTTACTTGAAATGCAAAGGGTGACTATGGAAACAACAGGGTAGAATATTGATGAGAGGTGCTTAATATGAAAGTATGACCCTGGGGCGTACCAGCGTCACCGGCTTTGTCGATTGTAGAGCGACAGGGCATCGGTTTATTTTCTTAGGACGTTACATTATATCCTTTGTTAGGGTCCTTTTATCGGTTCCCCAGAGGAACCAAACCACTGTCAACGAAAATGAGTGAAACTAGCGCGGACATAGGAATAATGGTACGAATCAAAAGCCTTGATAAGACAAACAGACGCCCTGTTTCTTTACAATCGACAAAGACAGCGATGATTTGTCACCACTTATCACAAAGCCGATACCATAGAGGTGTAGGTCTCCGGTATCCAAACTAACGCCGTAGGACGAAAGTATGAATACGTCATGAACAGTGCCGGTGACAGTAGGTGGAAAACAAGCATGCATATATTAATCCAATCCATGTGGCATCACCGGCCATAAGCATTCACCTGGTTCTATAGTCATTGTTTTCTCCAGGCAACAATGAGCAAATTTCACAAGCTGCCGAACGAACTATTTCACCGTATAACGACTAGCTTAGGAGCATACGATCTTTTTAACATATTGGCTGTGTTTCCCTATCGTGGCTCTTATCACCAGCTCCGACATCCCTTGTACAGAACAAGTCACGAGAAGTTTGTGGCATTGACATACGCAATTCGTGCCGGCAGAATCGATCTGGTACAAGAGATCCCTGGCATATCTCAGCTTCTCCAAGACTTTGATGACTATGCACGCCATGGCAGCAGCCACGAGCACCAGGCAATTCTTGGCGACAATGAATTCAGAGCCCAGGAATTTTCGATAACCAACTTTGGCGGTTATATCAATCCTTTGATCCTCGCAATAAACGGACGGTCGCTCGAGATAGTCCGGTTCCTTCTCGAAAGTGGGGCCCAGTCAGACGTCCCTGACATGTTCCACAGGTTCTTACCATTATATGTTGCGACGATGCACGGGGACCTCGACAGTGTACATGTCCTCCTAGAGCACCAAACATATCCCAATCAACTGACCGACCGGCAGCGACAACTACCGCTTGATATTGCACTTGAGCAAAACAACATACGACTCGTGAAGTTATTATGCGCCCATGGGGGTTGCCTCTCAACCCACTAGCCATTCTGTGCGTGGTTCGAAAGAGCATCAACACGATTTACGCAGGTCGCCCACATCATATCTGTCATATAGTCTACTATATAGTCACTAAAATAAGAGAGCTCAGCGAGTTCGAACTTTGGCTTAAAACTATAGCAGAAGCTTGAACAAGAGAACCAACTTCCCTAAATTTCAAATGAGCTAGCACGCACGCTTTCCGCATCAAGTCCGGTATAGGTCACCTGATATGCTGTGTAATATTCGGAGCTCCCTGTACACACTTTGACGCTTACTATGGTTTGGAAATCCATTTTGGGGACGGAAGTTTAATATAGCTCGGAGTGGACGTAGGTTTTGTAGGCTAACTGTCTATATTTGGGTTGCCCATCGCTCACGGTTAAACACCAGAGACGGACAAAAGCTATAGCCATTCTAGGACAATAGTTACCATGCGGACTTGCGCGTGCTACGGTCCGAGGCCTTTCCAGCAATCGCTCCCTCTAGATCACTGACCACCAGGACTAAGGGCCATTTTTAGAAGAAGATGTTTGAGTAACGCAGTGGAACATGTATAAACAGCGCATCCAGCCTAGAAACAAAGCAGCACTAAACACCAATCTAATGTCTACACACGGGTCAAGTCGTCGCGTTGGCAAAGGGTCTCATAGGAGACAGACGGCACACTCTTCAACTCGTCATAGCGGAACAAGGTCACACAGAGGATTGACAGAGCATAGGCCTGCTCACTCAGTTCCGGGAAGATATTGCACGAGAATAAGGGACAGAAGATCAACCGGTCAAATTCACAAACGCTCTCCCGTGAGACTGACTCCGGATTTACTAGCCAGATTCGATGATATCGCTCTGGACCTGCTGATAGATAATGTATGCTTATACCTTAAGACGAGGATGTGATTCTCAAGTTAAAAGAGCAATAGGCTTGTTTAACGACCAGCAAGAGCCGCGCCAAGCACCCAACCCTCCGTGGGTTTGACCGAGATACTGTCTCCAGGATAAAACAAGGACATATCCAAAAGGCCATAAATACTTTAATGGGGCTACCACAGCTGATACGGTATCTACCAGGTCTTGATAAACAGGCGGAAAGAAAACTGTTTTGTCAGCACCTACGGAAATATATCAACGTATACCGGCCGGATTGCGCGTTTGAAATCACCCACACCAATCGATATATCCGCGCAAAATATGAAGCCGCCGTGACCGCACGTAAGCTGATCACAGCGGGCCAGACTATTGCATACCTTACTGGAACGTACGTTAGTATGACCGAGCAACAGGAGAAGAATCTTCGTCAGATCGGTAAAGATTTCAGCGTCGTAGAATCGAGCTATAAAAAGGCCCTTTCAGTGTTCCTCGGACCCGCGCGGTTTGTCAACCATGACTGCCAGCCAAATGCCCGTCTAGTGACTAGGGACAATCGACAGATGTCTGTGGTTGCAATGCGTCATATTCGCGAGGGTGACGAGATTACAGTATTCTACAGTGATGACTATTTCGGCGACAACAACTGCGATTGTTTGTGTCTGACATGCGAAAAGAGGAGTCGCCTAAGAGGAAAAAAGGTTTCGTCCTAGAATCTACCGGACTATTGACCATTCAGTTATAGATTCTAAGAGATTTACTCTCGGTGCAATAATATTAAACTGTGTATTGCTTCGATCTCTCACTTCTTAGCCGACCATCGGTCTCTTCGCTCCTTTTGTGAGCCTTTGCGATTACTCAACGCAACAACTGCTTCAACCGGTCTCTAATGACCTAGAACTAAGCAAATATATATGGAAAACTAGTAACACTTCGCAACGGCGTGCACGCAAAATTTCACTGGAGGCGTAAACAGTACAACGTCCTTGGGATCGCGGCAATGTAACGACTGACGGTATTTTGTACCAATAATACGATAATTTCCCTAGGCGTTGTGGACTGACTAATGTCCTTTCCCATGACGCCTCAGATGATGCGTGGCGTTATACTCTGGCGATGTCTTGGGATTTAAAGCCTAGAGTGGACTATAAAGGGGGGACGTACCATCCCATATGGCTTTGTAACCAGAATCCTGTTCAACGTGCACTGTTGTGCGATGTCCTCATCCTTAAGCAGTTTCCCCCTGAGGTAGGTGTTCCTAAACCTTAGAACTGGAAAGCAGTGATTCTAACCAAGTAAACAGCTGTGGGACTCCATCCTCTTCTACCTTACACCGAAATGTTTGGTGAAATTTTCTCGTGCCTCGTCGTGTTGTTCCCAGATGGTTCGTTCTCAGGTCCATCGCCGTATCATGTATTATCTCTCCCCGCGGGCAACATTCAAACTCCAAATGGTACTCTCAGACCCGGCGGCAATGCAAGGTTGTGAGACTTTGGAATTGACCCGGTGTCGAGATCCTCTCAAAGACCAATACTTGCACACCTCGAATACGGTCCCAAGAAAGGTAGCGCGGGACGAAAACTACATCAGTCTTAAACTATCCTGCAAACAAAACCTCGAGAAGCCGAATTCACGATCAATCGCGCCCGACAATATCACCCCAATATCGACGCACGGTAGTTATAGCAAGATGATACAGCTTGATGAGCTTGATTTTCTATATCAAATGTGCTTTGCTATTCATAAATGCAAATCCCAATCTTATATCCACGGGAGCAATTTTTGTGGCGGGCGAATGAAAATGATTCGGCTTTGGAGCGACTGGTTTACCCAAAGCACGGTTCAATTTAACCTCAACGGCAGCGGATCTGACCTGAGGCTGTTTTCAAAACTTGTTTGGACCGATTCAAGCTTTGATGTTGGTTTTATTCTTTCAGCGCACAAGGGCATCTTGCTAGAACAGGGGTGTTTCATTCCTTGCCTTGGACATTTCACTGGTTCGCATTCCGCGTCGCAACTGTTTCAAATTGACGTCGATGAGGTGGTTATACGAGATACTTATCTATTAGCCCTCTTTGAAGGTTTCAGCATTTAACCGTATATCGACTTCTCGGTGAATTGATTTCATCATTTGGTACCAGAAGAATGTTTTGGGGTACGATCTAATCTTAGCTAGGGTATTCCAATCTACCGCGCACTAAGGGTCCTTTGCTGTAGTCAAGAATGTGTCACATTGTTGGTAACTAAGGATTCCATCTGTGCTCAAGGTGATTTATTCATATGTAGAACAAGGTCTGCTTCCTCCACAATGCGTGCAAGTTTCACTTTGTCGTATACGTCCTGGAATAAATTTATAGCCATGGCTCTTGCTCCAAGAGCGATTCCTCTGCAGCTGGAGTTGACCAGAGCGCTTTCCAGAAGGTGTTGCAATTGCCGCGAGCACTGTATTGCTGGAGAGAACTCAATAACCAATTTTCTGTGACGCTGCCACGAAGACTACTAGCAATAGACCACTTGACCAAATTGCAGCTTCGAGCGGATGTCAGACTGGCTCGAACGAGGAGTTCAATAATATCAAAGTCAGGGGCATGTGTCTGGACGGCCATCATCAATAGTTGATCTGGGAACTGTTTCTGGTGCAATATATTCGTGGTCACTGGAGGAAAGCTTTCCCTAATATCCAGTAGGTAGAGAAGGGCTACACGGCAGTTTTGTCTGATTGCCGCTTCGATGCCTTGCAAGCAAGCAATGTCGGAGATGACTGGAGCAAGATGCCGCTGTCTCAGGGCAGGTGCACGAAGGTCAAGCCGTGTAAACCGTTTTCCAAACGCACGGCGCAGGGCGACTAGGAGCTTGACTTTATCATCGGTCCATGGACCGTGCAATGCCTTGTTCGGAAACCAGAAAACACGTACTGGACGAATAATGTGACGCGGCCCGTGATTCGGGTTGAAGTATTCAGCTTGAATGGCAAAGTGATCGATGATGCGAAGCCGTTTCGGATATCCATCGTTCGTATGCAATCGAAGTGACTGCAAAGTGTCCATCGTAGAAGCTGCACTCCATTGCCTCTGTTGTATCTCTTTTGACGGAAATCGGGTCTTTTCCTGCAGCGCGATTGCATCTAGTGTCAGTGCCAGCAGCACCGGTAACACCCGTTCAAACCGATGAATGTTAAACCAGCGGCAAGACATGACTTTTCGTTGCAGTTCCTTTTGATCTTTAATCAGCAAAGGGCGATAGGTGGTCGAACGTAGTTCCGATTCGAAACCCGGGCACTCTTGATAGTCTCTTTTTTGAACCTCACGTCCACGTAGAGAAATTCTCGGTCGGAATACCGCTGCCGAATGCAGTCCTGCGGGTCGTTCCAAAGTGCTTGTATCATGAAAATGTCGTAGACGGCCTCTCGAGATACAGCCGCCGCAATTACATTGGACGCACGCGCAAAGTTTACCTCCAAAGCGTCGAGGTAGATTATCTCAATGATCTCGCGCGGGAGACACTCGAGGGTGGAGGGTGGCATTCTGTAGGGCGACTATTTGAAGCAAAGTAACAAGCCAAGAGTTCACTCAGACGCTGTGCAGCGACCAGGAGACGGAGCAGCGAAGAAACAATGAAAGTTGCCATATCGTGGAATCCTGTCGCTATTTACGTCAGGTGGCAGTAAAAGTGTTCCTTTGATAGGCGTGGCTCGATTGTTAGTGGCTCACGCCATGCGTGACGATGGGGTGGCATGCGGCAGACGGTCGTAATGGACAGTTTCCTACATGATTCGTTTGTAGCGGTGTCAATAAAGATATGAAACAGAGACCATATAATCAATAGAACGAACGTAATATGTAATCAGAGCTGGGGAATCGCTCTATATCATAAATTCATGTAGATTCTGTTTAATCCGACGTCATTTCATTCAAATACTAATTGTCCAAGCTCCGCTGCTTGACCATTTCGATCCAGCGAGCTATGCCGCACCCTAGGACTACCATAGCGTTCAAGACTTGGATAGCAGGATTAACTAAGTGCCAACTATTCCCATGGACTTGTTTTTAGGTAGAGCTCCTGGTACTGCCCGATCTCTCACTCCGGTAAGGTTCGAGACTGTCGTTTATGGTCCACTACACGCCCAGCACGAGTAAGTACCGACAAGCCAAGCGTTGTGCCTTCCCGAGCCCATTTTCAAACTCCGTATCACCTAGTCTGTATCGACATTAAAACAAAATTTCCACTATATACATCGCTGAGTGGAAGCAATGTCGTATGGCTTTTCAGAAAAAAATGGGAATGAGAAGGCGCGTGGATTTCTTCCAAGTAGAGCGAAGTGGGTCTGCCACACTTGGCATGGTGTGAACTGTTCTCACATATGCCTCTCTTGGGGGTTAGATTATATTTTGCGGTACTAAATCACTTGAAATAATCAAAAGTACCTTAGTATATTGTATTTGAGTAATACATTTTAGAACGCGTGCGGCGATAAGTTTATCGTATTCACATAGTCAGCGATACTAATAATTGCACTGTAGAAATACGATGTCGTTTACCTCAAAGTTGGGCCAAAGGCAAAAACTCTGTGGTTGCAAGCATTGTCGTGCCTTTGACCTTTCGTCGATAAATAGTGTTAGCATGCACGCTACGGGTTCACGAGGGCTGACATTACCACCAAAACGTCTACAAGAACCATTAGTACTGAGCAGGTCCCATGGATCCCTTGGGTCGTACTACATCATATAGGAAAATATCTCATAATTAATCGATAGTAGTCAGGATACTTAACTGTGAGTAGAAACCTTCACATTACGCATATTGGCAGCCGACCATTTTCTACACATCGAAAATATACCTATTCAAAATGGATCAGGGTTTCAAATGGAACCCCGCCTTTACACTTCGGGTGAGTGCAGACACGATTCATCACCCAGCGTTTTTGTTAACCGTATAAACCAAGGTGGGCATTGGGGAGCATAAGGATCTAGTAGGGGAAAATCTCCAGTTTGTAAGTCTCTCATCCATTTGAAGACAGTCAGCTGATTAGAGATTTGCGTGTAGGCAATCATCGGAGGCGCCCTCGAGACTAAGAAGGGATTCACACCACAGTTGAAGTCTACATCAATCTCTGGCGCTGACGCAGCAACCTTGACAGAGGAACAGTTACTACTCAACGTCAAAGCAGAGCATGTTACGTGAGACCGGGGTCGATCGCCTTATATGGCGATAATTGAGCTGCACTTACATCCTATTCTAGAGTCAAAGACGACCTAAGCCCGGAGTCCAACAAAAAGGTGCGATAGAAACGACAGTGGTCGAGCCTAAATAGAGCACCATTGCTGGATTGCTCCTAGTTAAGTTGGAGTGGTACGGAACTGTTATAATCAACCGAGACGTTAGGAGCATTCTGGACGGCAAGTTCGAGGGGGAAAACCCAGTTTGGCAACCCTAGTAAGTACTTGCTCTGAGAAGATGCATGTATTTCGCTGATTATGGTCCTTTTCCAGTTGCTGCTTTCAAATTTGATGTAAGATGGAATTATGTAGAACCACTGTCGGTGAGCGGAAATAATGACAATGGAGTAGGCTGACGATAAACACAACGTGCATCGGATCTTTGTGGGTCATGGTCGGTTTGTTAAAAAGTCGGAAAATCTATGCATCGAATATGATGTTTGGGAAGCCTGCGCAAAGGTTTCTGAAGAGACCGAGAATGGAGGCAAAGAAGAATCTCAGAGATTGATGGATTAGCCACCAAGACGCATGAGCTTCATAACACATAGATCTATGTCCCAGCTTGGATCAGATCGGACTAGGATAAATGGAGTACAGTCTTGAAAATATAAAGAGCTACCGGATAATCCGTTTGTTTTCTCGAAAAGAATCATAGATACTATGGTCTTGACGAGGCCCGCTAATAGAGAAGCCTTGCGCTTATGACATCGTACATTGTTGAAAGATAGCTAGCCCTGCAAGAGTTTCCCTCTAAGTGAGTCCGTCGTGCTTGCCTATGAGCTCGCCATCCTCCCGATCAGAGTCACTTCCGGCTTCTATCAAATTGTTCTCCAACAATTCGACTCCCACTACCGGCCACCTTTCGACCTGGGTTGTTACGTTGAGTGTTTAAGATGCCGTAGGAGCCTACCGTGTTATTTTCGTTCTGACTTTCCCGAATTGGTTTCCTATTTTTGGCTTTCACTGATTTGTATTTTTATACAATTTTCCTAATGTAGTGCTCTGTAATTAGATTTTTTATAATTGATTATACCAATGCCTACCCATTCGCCGGCACCTAGATATAGCTTCATTTAGGTCAGTTATCATCCCTCTCAGATAGCTACCATTCTAATCTCCCTTCCAAGTATCTGTATTTGAGTCATGATTTCACTCCCTGACCGATCTCAAGCACATTTTGGTAGCTCCAGTGCCGAATACCTGCGAGACCGCAGCATGATTAACTCATTGAGCTTTTGCCTAAGCGAGGACAAGAACCCGAACCGGATCGATGGGAGAGGCATGTCTGCTATGCATTGGGCGGCCTCGAGGGGAGATTTAGACATCATTCGCCAATTCTCACGAAAAGATTCATGGATGACCTTTCACAGAGATAATACCGGCAGGGTGCCATTGGACTGTGCCGCGGAAAAGAACGAAACCGAGGTTTGTAAGAGAATTGGTCCCCCACACTATAATTGACATGGGGGACAAGAGTGGACGAACAGCCCTTCATTGGGGCGTCTTAAACAGCAACGAGGAAATTGTTGCCCTCTTGCTTGCAAAAGACTTTGCTCCAAACCCTCGGAACAGCTTCCACAATCCTACCTCGCCCCAATGGAATCCATCGACGCCAAAGGAGTTGTTGTCGAGTACCGACTCGCCGGACCTTCCGTCTGCTTGGGTTGATTCGCAGATGGAATCAGGGGACATTGCATTGCATTTGGCAGCTGCACGTGATTCTCCAAAGATTCTGTCTTTGCTGGTAAAGGCATGCGACCTCAGGCTTGAGAATTTGGAAGGAAAGACAGCTCTCGAGATAGCATTTGGTAGCGAACACGAAATTAACGCGAAAGTCATACTTGGGGAGATGGTGCGGCGTAACGTGACGGGGAACTTTGAATCAAGTACTCTAAAGATTGTGCAAAAGTGGCCCGATGACAGAGAGTCCTGGAATGGCGATGTGCTATGCTGGGCAGCTTTCAATGGGTTTACCAAAGTTAACACATGTATTCTCAAGGCCATGCCCATATTGGGCTTTATCGCTCGGCATCCCTCTGGCAGAACAGCCCTTCAAGCTGCAGCAGAGCAGGGCCATCTTAAAATAGTTAACCATTTGCTCGAAAGCAGAGCTGACGTCAATGCCTTACCCGGGATGGCCTATGGCCGAACCGCCCTTCAAGCGGCAGCAGAGCACGGCCATCTTGAAATCGTCAAACACTTGCTTAAAAGCAAGGCGAAGATTAATGCTCCACCCGCACAGATCGGTGGCCGTACCGCCCTTCAAGCGGCAGCAGAACACGGCCATCTTGAAATCGTCAAACTCTTGCTTAGAGGCAAGGCGAATATTAATGCTCCTCCCGCACAGACCGGTGGCCGTACCGCCCTTCAAGCCGCAGCAGAACGGGGCCATGATGACATGATAGAGCTGCTCCTTTCCAAAGGGGCAGACATCAATGCCTTGCCTGGACATAGCTATGGACGAACAGCCGTTCAGGCCGCAGCGGCGAAGGGCCATTTCAAAACGGTAAAGCTGCTTCTATCCAAGGGAGCTGAAATCAATGCTCCCCCGGCATCTATCTATGGCCGAACGGCCCTTCAGGCCGCGACAGAGTGGAAAGACACTGGCATGGTTAGGCTGCTTTACTCTAGAGGAGCCGAAGTCAATGCCTCGCCTGGGGAAATATTTGGCCGTACAGCCCTTCAAGCTGCGGCAGACCAGGGGCATCTCGAAACGGTCAAGCTACTACTTTCCTATGGAGCAGATATCAATGCGCTGCCTGGACATACCCACGGCCGAACTGCCCTTCAAGCCGCAGCAGGTCAAGGATATCTAGAAATTGTAAAGCTGCTTCACTCCAATGGCGCCCAAGTAAATGCCTTGCCTGGAAAAATCTTTGGTCGAACAGCCCTTCAAGCTGCGGCAGAGCAGGGCCATCGTGGAATGATAGAGCTCCTTCTTTCCTATGGAGCAGAGATCAATGCGCTGCCGGGACATACCCACGGCCGAACTGCCCTTCAAGTTGCAGCAGAACAAGGATATCTTGGAATGGTCAAGCTGCTTTACTCTAGAGGAGCTGAAGTCAATGCTTCACCTGGGGAAATCTCTGGCCGTACAGCGCTTCAAGCTGCCGCAGAGCAAGGCTATCTTAAAACGGTCAAGCTACTGCTTTCCTATGGAGGGGATATCAATGCCTCGCCTGGACTCACCGACGGCCGAACTACCCTTCAAGCCGCATCAGAACAAGGATATCTTGGAATGGTCCAGCTGCTTCACTCGAATGGCGCACAAATCAATGCCCCGCCTGGAGGAGCGTTTGGCCGCACAGCCTTTCAAGCTGCCGCAGAACAGGGAGATCTAACGATGGCGAAACTGCTCTACACGATTGGAGCAGACGTCAATGCGCCGGCTGGACACACCAGTGGCCGAACTGCTCTTCAAGCCGCAGCAGAACGGGGTCATCATGCCATGATAGAGCTGCTTCTTTTCTATGGAGCAGACGTCAACGCCTCGCCTGGAACCACCAAGGGCAGAACTGCCCTCCAAGCTGCCGCAGAGAATGGCTACCTTGGAGTGGTCAAGCTGCTTCTCTCCCATGGAGCAGAGATCAACGCCTCGCCTGGAACTGCCCACCGCCAAACCGCCCTTCAAATGGCAGCAGAAAACGGTCATCATGAGATGGTAGAGCTTCTTTACTCCAATGGAGCAGACATCAATGCGCTGCCTGGGCACACTGACGGCCGAACCGCCCTTCAAGCCGCCGCAGGACGGGGCCACCTTGGCATCGTAAAGCTGCTTGTTTCCTATGGAGCAGAGATCAATGCCTTGCCTGGACCCACCGATGGCCGAACAGCCCTCCAAGCTGCAGCAGGACAGGGCCATCTTGAGATCGTCAAGTACTTGCTTGAAATCGGAGCAGATGTCAATGCATCGCCAGCCCCTGACGGTGGCCGAACGGCCCTTCAGGCCGCAGCGGAACGGGACCAACTTGAAATGGTAAAGCTGCTTGTTTCTCATGGAGCGAATCCTAATGCATCCCTTGCGCATACCAACGGCCGAACCGCCCTTCAAGCCGCAGCCGAAGAAGGCCATCTTGCGATAGTCAAATTTTTGCTGGAAAGCAAAGCAAATGTCAACGCATCGCCTGCCCCTTTCAATGGCCGTACGGCCCTTCAGGCAGCAGCGGAACGGGGCCAACATGAAGTGGTAAAGCTACTCCTTTCTCATAAAGCCAACATCAATGGCACTCTTGCACCTACGGATGGTCGAACAGCCCTTCAAGCTGCAGCAGAGCAGGGCAATCTGGAAATGGTAGTGCTGCTCTGTTCTCATAGGGCAGATGTCAATGCCGTCCCCGCAGTTTTCCGTGGTCGGTCGGCCCTTCAAGCTGCAGCGGAGCAGGGTCATTCTAAGATGGTGATACTGCTTCTGTCCAAGGGTGCGAATGTCAATGCCTTGCCTGCACAGAACCATGGCCGGACAGCCCTTCAAGCCGCAGCGGAAAAAGGCCATCTTCACATGGTACGGCTGCTTCTTTCCTATAGAGCAGAAATCAATGCCCCGCCAGGGATCACGGGAGGCCGAACAGCCCTTCAGGCCGCAGCAGAACAGGGCCATCTTCCAGTGTTGCAGATGCTTCTTTTCTGTGAAGCTGACATTCATGCCCCAGGTGCACCTATCGAAGGCCAAACCGCCCTCCAGGCCGCAGCGAACCAGGGTCATCATGACATAGAACGCGTACTTCTTTCCCATAAAACGGAAACGAATGCTCAATATACTCTCTACCTTAGCTAGACAGCCTTTAAACGCAGCACATAGTATGTCACTTACGCTTGTACCAACAACTTGAATATCACTGTCTTTGCCGAGCTTAATTCTGTGTAATAATGGTGTCAGGCTACCTTGGGGATATAGCACGCTGGAAGTACTGGTTTCTTAAAAGCATTAAACTCCTCATTCTCCATGATTATCAAGCTCTTCCACACTTACTGTCGCGTAAATTCAATTAGATACATATCGCAGGTTAGAGCTTTACGAGGCTTTAGCTGAGCTAAGGGTAGATGATCATTGGCTGCTTACATTGCTGCCACAATGCCCAAGGCCATCATGAATGAAGTCTTCAGGATCTCGCTGTCTGAGAGCATCCATCGTGGATTGTAACGTAAATGCATGGCGTGTACTGTCGGTCAAACTGCATATCATGTCACAATGTTCGACATTACAACGCTTTTATTACCGCTCACTCAATTCCCATCGGTCGCGCTTGTGTACATATGCTGATAAAAACGATCCCAGCGGCGGACAGGATATCTCTATCGGAGAACCAACAAAGTTCTCAGTACACTTTTACTGGGTACTCATTACTAATTTATATCAAATTATATCTTATTACTATGGACAAATATGTGGTGCCTACTAGTCTCAAAGACCGCGATCATATTACGAGTATCTATGTCTTATACATTTTTGCTAAAAAACATGTTACAGTGTTGGTATGGTTCATCAGGAAATTTCTCGGTTAGCACTGAACGTTTGGTGGCAAAGTAATATTTTAAGTTAGGCAAGGTACATAAACAAACCGAATGCAGGGGAAGCGCTTTGCAATAATCATATTTGACATGCATCGACTCTCTATACATGCAATCCAACTAGCCCCCGGGGCAATTTTCAACCTATTCAAAATCCAAAAGTTTTTTTTTTTTTTCTAGTAAATTCCCGCTATAATCGCCCTATCTTTTTGGAGTATAGGTTACTGTATCGTGAATGACTTTTCGGAGCTCTAAGTATAAATACCCTATAACGGGCGAAACCTCGATATCCAAGGCATGCATTATCCAAAACTGGAACTATCTTGCGCTGCATTCCGTTGACTAACCCAAAATTCTGATATCTATATTTGGTCTGTGTGATGCTCAAAATTATCCATCCATCCATGTCATTTCAACCTTTTAAAATCCAAGTTGTTCATGGTGATATTTCGTCATATTAGCAATGACGAGCATTTCTAAGAATCAGTCTCCCATCAAAATCAATCAGGTGTATACTCTACTCCTAGAATTGGAGGAAGGGCTTGAGCATATACGTAAACACCTCAACAACTTAAGATACCTAGCAGATTCCCAGAACCGACTTCACCATCAGCTTGTCGTAAATCGATATTCTAGACGAACAAGGCTGTATGAGATTTGCGAATCATTTCGTGGTAAACTCAAGACGCCATAGTCATCACCACCTGTCTCGTAATATGGAATCACCCTTTGCAAACTTGACCCTCACAATATTCCTCTCTAAATGGCCCTCTTTCAAAGCAATATTTTGGGCGTAGAGAACGTTCCACGGAAGAAGCTCTGGAGATCCTCTGTGCTAGATTGTCTATTAGAAGAAGATGATGACCGATAGAGAACCACCAAAGAGATCATCAAGTACAGTAAATCGAAACCTTGATTCGCTATAATTTCCGGTATTTTCACAGGAAGGGGCTGTTTGTTGGAATAATGGGGGAGTCTGGGGGCGTCTCAGTGAACTGGTTTCGCCATACGTTTTCAGTCCTATGGATACGGAAGCAAGCAAGGGAGGTCTGAGCAGCGACGCAAATATGTCACGTTAGTATTATAGGTACCAAGCATGACTGGATTCATGTTATCATATCTGAGGCTATTTACGTCCCTCACAACTAAGGTCCCAAACTATTATCCAATTAAGTGGATCTGTTCCGGTGTTGCACGTAAGTTTATACTTCGATACAGAAGGAAACCCAAAAATAAAAATAAAAATAAAAATAAAAATAAAAATAAAAATAAAAATAAAAATAAAAATAAAAATAAAAATAAAAATAAAAATAAAAATAAAAATAAAAATAAAAATAAAAATAAAAATAAAAATAAAAATAAAAATAAAATCGCTTCATACTAAGCAAATATAAAGGTCGATCCAATCGCTCATAAACTTATTAGGACGTCTTGGCTCTACAAAATCGAAGTCCACTCATCTCCTACCCTATACTAATCGCTCTATATTTAAATGCGCTATTCGGGTTCGAAAATGCCACCCCGGAGCCAATTATCTACAGCTTTGGGTCGAACCAGAAGATCAGGACCTGTACTACCCCGCTGGAAACTGCGAATGATCTATGATATGATAGTCAGCAGAACACTATCTGTGGCGGATATGGCAGAAGCGGCGAAATGCAGCCCGGAATCAATAAAGGAAATATGCCATTTGCTTCAAATCTTAGCCTTCCGTGAGGACGAAAACCCTCCCCCGCCATCTGCAACAGTGAATATAAATATCATACCGGCAGATTTATCCACGCCCCCTTCAATCTCAATTTCAGCGACGTCTATGTCTGTGGATATTTACGTGACGGGAAATATCACGGTTTCTGTTCCTGGAGAGAGCACCATCGAAAAACAAGAAGCATGACCGACGTGAGCGCTATGATGTTAAGACTACGTTCGATCAGAGTACATAATCGCTTGCAATGAAGAATGCGCTAAAGATAGTACGTCTCATCACAAAGTCTAATACTAGCACAACAGGATATGGGTTCGGTCTGGCTTATGTGTATCAAATCCGTTACGTACCTTAATACTGTAGTTTTTGTTTTATTGAATGTCAAATATCTCAAGTGAGATGGCAGGGTCCCCACTTACGGACGTTGCGAAGTCAATGGACAGCCTTACCAGTGCGAGTATACCAAATCTCGAAGAGGTTACAAGGGCTCATCCCAAAAGCGGCGCGCCAATCCAGATTTCCCAGAGCAGTTACCGATGGATTTTGACATGATCAATGCCGCGGATTGAAGGGACATGGAGGCTGGCTATGGCATAAACTAATTATTATCTCTTGCAGCACAGTCAGCTACCTGGATATATCAAATGCGCCCTTAACCTGGCCAAAGCTCTTACTTGGGAAAGTATTCAGGGAAAATTTGAGAAACGACTCGACACATTCGGTGAATGAGCTGCAAATTCTACTTTCCGCTGTACAAAGTGTGATCTAGCGACGTGAACAGACTTTCCATGGAATAAATGCCGTACTCTGCTGTCGAGTTTGGGACCGACGTATGAGGACGCGGCATATAGTGGATTCCGAAAGCGGCTTCCCCCAAGACTGATGAATCTTCGACCCGCATTGGAGACCGCATTAGTTCATATCAAATTCATTGGTACACCGATCTGTATGCTAATCGAATGTGAGCTAGTGAAATTTGGATACGGCCGAGAGACAAATCATGAGTCTTTTGAAGATACAAAGTTTACAGAACCTACCAAACTCTACCGGAATGGCGTGGGGTTTGAATAGGACACAGAAGGTCTGGGGGGATGTGAGGGCGGCTACAGCCTGGCAAACGGGGTTCCAAAGTATCCCCGGGTAGACAGACGACCATACGACTTCCTACCATAAAGGGGCACAACGGGCCCGTTTCAAAGAATGCGTTCTAGTTAACTTGTAAATCGGGGATCGGCACATTTCATTTACTATAGCTGGGACGGATTCAAGTCTGCTTTAGGCTTAGGCTAGACAGCGGGCTGTCCCACATTAATTGTGGGTCAGAGAACTTACTGTGAATTTATTTCTATTTTTTATTTGAAAATCTTTTACTCCACATAACAATGAGACGGTGAATAGCAGGCCAGAAAAGGCCGCTTCGGGGGCCGTTTTGCCCTGAAACGAAGGAACGTAGTGAAAGGGTTTACAACCCTGCGCGAGCTGCCCGCCAACCTTTGCTGGCCTCTGCCCTGAAACGAAGGAACGTAGTGAAAGGGTTTACAACCCTGCGCGAGCTGCCCGCCAACCTTTGCTGGCCTCTGCCCTGAAACGAAGGAACGTAGTGAAAGGGTTTACAACCCTGCGCGAGCTGCCCGCCAACCTTTGCTGGCCTGCCCTGAAACGAAGGAACGTAGTGAAAGGGTTTACAACCCTGCGCGAGCTGCCCGCCAACCTTTGCTGGCCTCTCACTGCCAAACTCTTCGTTTTTTTCGTTGCTAATTGGTGCTTTCTCGTGCCAAGGAATGCTCCTATTGACTGCCAATACGCTCTTCTCGTTTGCTGCTGCGACTCTCCAGGCTCTCCTCCGATTGCTGCTCTGTCTCTCCGCGCTCGCTTCTGATTGCTGCTCACCTACTTTCCTTTCCTTCCTCTTTAGGCTTTGTGCTTCCCGAATTCGTATTCGGCCTCTGTTGCTTTTTCTCCGTGTCTAGGGATCCCGGTGTTCCCGCTAGTCTTGGAGTCGGTGGGGTTCCGGCCTTCTCGCCTTTCTATTATGATTCCACCCTTATTTGTCCTGAGCATCCTGCAGATAGTACTATTATGCACTCATGCGCACGGTGACGTGTTCGACTTCTACTATATGAATGATCAACACGGATCTTTCTCGCTGGTCCCAACTTTTTCCTGTCGCTCCTCTCCCAGTGCGCCTCGGAACGGATGCCGTTTGCTGGTTTCAAGTCATCTCTTCTCTAATGACATCTCTTCCTGCGCAACGTTCTTTCTGCTCTGGTTGCGCCAGACCATGGCGCTCTACACAGTTTCGGTCCTGCGACAATTGCCGCAGGAGGGTTTCTCAACGGGCGGTCAGAGCCCGACAGCTTTCAGCTACTGTAGGCACGAGTAATATTTTAACTGGGCCACCTCCGCCTCTAACTTCCCCTACTGTTCCTGCCTTTTCGACGCTACATTTTTCGTGCTCTACATGTGCACGCCCCTGCCGGTCGTTGTATCATAGGACGTGTAATCGCTGCCGCCAGGCAGCTACACGGAGGACGGTAGCATCGTACCAGGTACTGGGAGTG